AGAGAGAGACAGAGACAGAGAGAGACAGAGAGAGAGAGACAGAGAGAGAGAGAGAGAGACAGAGACAGAGAGAGAGAGACAGAGAGAGAGAGACAGAGAGACAGAGACAGAGAGACAGAGAGAGAGAGACAGAGAAAGAGAGACAGGAGCAGTGACCAATCTTCACACTTTGTTTTTCCTCTTTACTCAGAAACACAGACACACAGCAACATCCCACACTCATGGTTTCTGTGTGCGATGTGTGAAACCAACACGACGCGGCAGAGGAAAGACTTTGGCTGTTTGGCTAGCTTTGTGTCTAAAGGTTAACCATTCCACTCTAGACCTCGTGAGAAGATGTGCGTTTCCCAACCTATTGGCTTCTGATAAGGCAGATCCGGGCCCATCGCAAACCCTCATGCTAAGCCTTCATCGCTGGATCTGCTCATGTAGAACGGCCACAACAAAGGACAGAGGGCCAGACAGAAAACTGCATGTCTGCCAGGCCTTCCCTGGATTCCTCTGTCACGTTGTGTATGTACACTGTAAACATCTAAATAGCACTCCAGCTCCTCCATCCACATCCAATCCTAATCCAATACAAAGCAATGCAGTAGCTGCACACTGAAATGAGCCAAGAGGCGTTTGTCGAATTGGTAGACAGAAAAACGGTTGCCAATTCGTAAAAATAACATTGTATTTATGAGGTTGAAAGTATATTTTTAATCTCTTTGATCACCTAGTTTGGTAATATAATATGAATAACATGGTTCAAGGATGACTCTTGGGTAATGTTAAACAGATACGGAGTGCATTTCATTGAAGAAAAGACAAACAACTGTTAATGTAGTACATCCTGCTCCTACATCAGCAGTAAGCTTCTCTGTGCAGCGCTCCTCAAAAAGATGTCTGTTAACCGCCTGACAGATGGCAAGGCCTCTGTAACTATGGTTACCATGCTCCAGGGGGAACAGAGCGATCCCTGATGGTTTGTTTTTGGTGTACCTTGAGGCAGCGGGGAGAAGGGAAACAACACAATCATCAGCACGCTCTCTCTCTCTCTCTCTCTCTCTGCCATTTGTTTACCACGTGAGTGAGTTAGGACAATGTTTCCACAATAGAATCATGGTGATAATATCACAGACAGTGCAGTTGAGACGTCTCTCTGACAATGGCATTACTGACAAAGGAGTAAACAGGCGTAGTCAGTTCATTAACATATGCGTTATTATAACGGCAGCATTAAACAATGTACAATAAAAAAAATAAGCCACTTAACCGGTGGAAGTTATTAACCTTGATCAAAACAATACCTCTGTAGAATAAAGAAAGGACAAAACAAAGTACCCGATCACGTATATCTAAATTGTGTGAACCCGTTCAGAGCTGCTAGCTTCAGCTGCTGTTAAGCTGATTTAGTAAATGCCATGTACAAAGATCTCACAAGATACTGGGGAAACTTCCCCTTATTATCAACAACTTCCCTTTCTTTTGTAGAGTTTCAAAAGAGGAAATGTAATGTAGAAATCAAATTGAAACACTGGTGCATTTCCTGTGCAGATGGCACGGCATCAGTACTATTTGTATGTGTATGGTATTACACAATACACCAAAAAAACTATTCTTAGTTTCATCCCAAGAAATGTGGCCTAAAAGGCAGGTCTATAGCACAAGGCTGGGGTTTATACTTGGTGTAATTGAGACTGTGCCGACACAAGGGCAGCTCTGTAGCCTCTGTTTACTTTCTCTGCATCTGGAGACATCACGAGACCGGGAGGCCGTATGTGAGGACATAATTAGGAGGAATCAGAAGCTATTTCACACGTACACACGAAGGCAAACACACGGGCTGAGCCAAGTCACGACCAAGTGACAGCAAAAGACAACATATATATTTCATTGAGTGGTTTCAGTAAACAAAAATGTAAAACGGTCTTTGTTTCTACAAACGTAACTTGACATTTAGCGGCATAGCATTCATTTAAGTGTGGCTATTAAGCTAGCTTAATATTAGCTTATTATTACCATTTTAACATGAGCCTTTCTGTATAAACGCTCCATTGATATCAGTGTTGTATTAGTAGGCCTGTTAGTACAACGTTATTTCGCGCCATCAGTAGGTGGGGTTATCAATATAATATTTAAGAAATATTATAAGCAAATAAAAAATTGCACTTGCAGGCCCCAACCCATAGCACTGTTCCGTTTCCCAGGCCCCTGAGTTAATGATGACAGTAATGTTACGCTCATAAACGCACAGAAATAACAGCTCGGGACATGTCTTGGCCACCTACCTTTGAATGAATAGTCTGTTGTAAATGGCAGCTACGTCTGTGGAGAAAGAAACTCCTTCTTTTTTCCGAGTTTGCAAGAATTTGTTACCGCAATGTGCGACCCTCTTGTCTTGTGTCTAAAAAAACCCAGTGCGTATCGCGTTTGCTGGGCGTGACGTCAGTTTGAAGGGTACGGCACGGGAGGCGGGCTAGTGGGCAACAAACGCAGCGGATTGGCTGACACCACTTGTCGCTGCTCATGCGCGTCCAATCACAAGACAGAGCGATGAATCGTCAGCGAAAATAAGTGACTTTTGACTTTTTGGCCAACATCACCCAGCCAGTGATGGAATGAATGCGAGAGAGAATAGGCAGGATGGGTGACTAATAAACGTGAATCATTAATTAGAGACCTTGTTGCTCTCGCCTTGGAATTTTACTTTTGATTTTGATAAGATTATGAAATATTGGCAGCTCTTAACATGAAAGTATTATGTTATACGTAATATAATATACCAATATATAAATATGAACAATTATTTTGGTCCTCTTTTATTTAACTAACGTTACATCATGTGTTTCTATTCATCATTATGCACCTGTTTGTCTAAGGTGCATTACTGGTTTTCTCCCAGTAAGTGTCAGACTACTCCCAGTCTATTCCTCTCTGAAGTGCCGGTTGTTGCTGTTTCTTGCACTATAATGAACAAGCAGTGAGTTGTTGTGTTGTCATGCAGCTAAAACATTTGCCAATGTCTTTTGTTTTACTTGTGTTTTCTGAATTTTAATAATCAGCATCACACATCACTCAGAGAAAGGCCCTACAGTATAAATTCAGCATACGGGGAGCCCCTAAATTACCTGATTGAAACAATACACTGCAAGTGGTTTGCTTGTCTCTTTTCTTCTCTGAATGCCTTTAAACTAATTAAGTGCTTGACAATGATCTGAGTGACAAGCTCCCCATAGTATGCCTGTGTGACTGTGAGATAGTTTTTTTCACGGAAGAGCAGCTGATATCTGACTGAGTCTGCTCAGTTTCTGTTATGACATGAAAGAGCTATGGCTCTCTCTCTCTCTCTCTCTCTCTGCACATGCCGAGCTCTCAGTGTCAGTGTCTCTACTCTTTTTTAGGTGGGCAGCGACGACACAGCTCACAGATGCAAAGACATGCATATGCATACCTTAATGTGAATATGCATACCTTACTGTGAGCGCACGTACATATACAGCACATGAAAGCTAGTAGTGGAAGAGATGTTAATCTATAAAAAAGTATCCTATACATACCGTTAGTGTATTATTAATCTGTAAAGTAACTATTAAATATAGCTGTCTAATAGACACACCCATGCATGTGTACTTCACATACATAAAAAGGGGTCGTAGGGTTTGGAGATAGGTTTGTGAACATCATCTCGGTTCCTCCATCGGACATGGCACTGCATGAGTTCAGTTTGAGCATAGTGACATACCAGCAGCCAGCCAGCTTTACAGCTGCCACAGACAGTAGAATTTAAAAGGAAACGGGTTCTATTCTGCAAGGTGATACCAGACGGTGTAGTGACATAAAAGCTTGCACTATATGAGTGTGTTCAACGACAAGCCTGTAATAGCAGAGTTGTAGACCAGCGGTGCCCCCCCGAGAATCAAGGACCTGACCTCTGACATACACACGCTAAGCTATATTTACAGCTAGTCATGCATGGAAAACATGTTGGTGGAAGGCACTGTTACTGGTTTAAGCAATAGCCTGGCAGCAGCTGTTAGAAGACTGACCTGAGACGGTCCAATGAGGCATGTCAGACATTCTGCAACAAACAGCGAAGGAATCCTCAGCTTTATCCTAAGATAAAGTGCATGGCAACACAGAGTGTTCTGCATTGTCACTCTAAAGCTATTTGTTGTGTAGTGAACAAGGCCCAGGTTTGCTTTCAGTGCAGGTTGAGCCGTGTATAGTCAATTCAAAAGAGTGTTTCTTGTCATTTCCTACACTTTATAACCTTCACATAGTCCTTTGCTGGAAACCTCACCTACAGGAGCTAAACAGATAATACCAGTAATAAAATATACTTGTCTACGATAGCAGTGTAATCCAAGAAACTGAACACAATCTGTTAATAAAGTGCAGCACATCTAAGAACTGAATATACCTTTACTGGTGTACCCAACAGAAGTCGCCGTGTTAAACAGTTGCCTTAATTTCAATGGAAAGAAATGCAAAGCTAAGTTTATGAATGTTGTGTTCATCATACGTGAGATAAACATGCAGTCCACTTCTGGCCGTGTGTGCCAGTGTCTGTTTACATCGTCACCCCAGCAATTTAGCCCGAGCCTGCACCAACAGCTTCAGCAGGAGCAGCTGACAGAAATAGAGCCTGGCCAGCTCTGCCCAACCCTCTTCCAGGGACCAGGCGGGGAGGGGGATGCGAGGGGGGAATAGTTTTGTCTGTGGAAAAGGGCAATGGAGCAAGATTACCAGAGTTCATTGAAACTCAAGGGGGTGGTCATCTGGAGCGAAGTTGTTTGCGGTGGAACAAGGACAACATCTCACGGATGGGTGGCAAACAGACTGGTTCTCCACAAGCCAAGATGAAGCATTTTATGTCGGGAGCAAGCAGAACCTTGTGTCACATTTACACACTCATGGTCACTATTTGGACTCAGTGCAATGGGTGATTCCGTTAAGTAGCACTAAATACTATTTTTTTTTTTTTACCTCTGAAAGGAATGGATTTATATTGTGCCATATAGTCACAATAAAAGAATACGAGGGGTTTGTAGAAATCATCACATTTCTAGACAACAACATAAGCTTTGTCAGATGCATGTCCGCAGACACTTCTGGCCCTCGCTCTGTGATGGATACCTCGTCCAGAAAGTTACTGACAAGCGTATGTGTCACTGTCACGTGCCCAGTGATAAACGTGCCAGCAGGGATCTCCCACTCTGAGCAATTGATCACCGCTGCTACAACTAATTCTCGACATAACCCCATTTATCAGTTTATAATTATTTTAAAAAAATCAACCAAAGGCAAATGACCGCATGTTAAAAATGATGTACATTGATTGGAAGCCTGCAGTGAAAGTCAATTCTATGAGGGCATATTTTTACATGACATTTACATCAAATTTAGGTGGCCGTGTTATGATCATGCTGTGGTGTAGATGCATCAAAGGAAGGCACATTTCTCATTTGTGCATTTTGTGAGTTTTTGTCCAGAGTGAACTAACTTTAATCACAATGGTAGGGGTGCATTTGTCTCCCTTTAAAGCCATGACTTGTCAGTCATGAGAGAGGAATTTTGAGCTAGACAGTCAACAATCCTTGTACCTTTACGAAGCACCCCATGTTGACATAATCTTTGGTTTTCAATGGGTCAGAAGGCTTGTGATGAAGGTAAAGAGGACTGTCTTGTAGACGTGTTGAGTAGTTTTAGACCGTGTCATGCTTCTGGAAGTGTAGTACAAATCAATATATAATCGTAATGCACCTGTGGCATAGCAGCCCTCACCTTCATCCCTTTTTATCTGGATACCAAAGCTGTGTTTGTTCTGTACATTGGTGCCCATCCCATAATAGGACATGGGATGATTACATCTGGTGTAGCAGAAAAACGTGCATGTGGATAAAATAACTCGTTACCCACGCCTCACTGCGTGTCACCAAAAACATTTAAGTATAATTTTCAGTATCGTATCTCCCCCTCTGCCCGATAGGAAATCCCTCAAAACTATGCCACGGGAGCATGTGATGTTTTTCACCTGGCCTTTTTCTCACAGGTGCCCAGAACAAACATACACATCAAACTTGTTCAAACAGTACATGGAGGTCAATCAGCACATTTTAACAAAAACACCCAAGTGATTAAGCTTTACCCCGTCTTTTTATCTAAAAAGTTATCTTATCATTCTGCACTGCAGTGCGGGTCCAGTGTTTGCTGTAGGACACACTAACATTATGGCACACAGCAAGTCGACTTTGCATGGGCCAGATACTGAGCACATGCTCCGAGTCTCATCACGAGTAATTTATTAAATCACGTAAATCAGAGCATCTTGGGCAAAACTCAAGTCGATAACTTTGATGCAACGCTGAGCGGTTGCCGGTCACTCCTGCAAGGCCGTGGGACGAGACCAGCTGAGCAGACTGACCCACATCACTGACTCACTCATGACGCATAGAGACCTGCTTATCTGTTCTCACTCGCTGATATACCATGACATCAGCAGTAGCTTCAAAATCCAAGTTTTGGGGTCCATCAGGGCTGAAACAAATATGCCATCGCTACCTAAACAAACCTCATAAATATTAGGAAATCAACAATTACATACGAGAGAACTGCCTGGTCAATTACCAGCTGGTGCCACATCCCACCCCAACATTACAGAGTGGTTTCAATATGCCTGGTCTTTGAGCTGCAGCTGACCTCATTCCTTAGGACCAGGCCTACTCCTACAGTCAGCCTCCCTAATCTACAGATTAGTGGCTGGAACAAGCAGGCGTACCTAGCCCTGACCCCTTGTACATGGATGGCCTTCAGGTTTTCAGCAACGTGTGCTAATGGTGCACTTTAAATTCACTCCTATTCAAAATTATATCTTTAATTAAACTTGTTTTATTGGTCGAGCATCATCAGATGATCTATTAAGATATGTCCGACTGTTCGACATTCCATCTTGTGCAACATATTATGCTCGTTTGACTTTAACACTAATAAATTAGCCTAAATCTAAACTGCTTACATAATTCAACAGGGACCAAGTCTGTGTGTCTAAGTGAGGGGAGTTCCCACCAGCAGTGCACAAAAACATTCCATACATGAGGCAGCTGCGCAACTCATTAAACATGTAGGTTTCTGTGGCCACATGCTTTTCCATTACATACATTGTTTTATTACACTTTAATAGCATAGTTGCAAAGAACAACAATGTCCTAAACATTGTTTAAAATAGAACGCAATATACATTTAATGACTAAATAAAACACACCCACAAGCAATTGCTGGCAGTTTGAATAGCCTTTATTTGAAATTATTCACATTTCAGCTCTCCCACCATACAAAACAGAGAAGGCGCTGATTTTCAGTAGGCCCTGACCCCCAATATTATCACAAAGAAAGTTTACCATCTGTTTTTTTTTTGGGGGGGGGGGGGGGGGGGAGAAGATATACAACAAAACAACTGATGCCTGCAGTGAAAAACTACATGTCTTAATGTAATCATCCTGTATTCCCAACTTAAAAAATAGGCTACATTGTACAATGATATTTACAAAAGATTAAAAAAAGTGAAATCAAAATGGATTTTTTTCAATCCTGCTGCAGCTCTGAAGTGAGTGAGCCACTAATTAGCCCATTCAATACCATTTCTTTGCTTAACACTTATTCTAGGGTCAAAAACACCCTACAGTTTCCCAACTTCTCCATTCTTTTTTGGTTCCTCACAAAAGCTTTTATTTAAAAAAGGTGAAAGAAAAAGCTTTATATGTAATGCATTACAGTCACGAATGACCTTGGAGGTGTTTTAAATGATAATTCTCCACAGGAGGTAATACTGGAGCTCAGATGTCCATCTCAAACTGGTTGTCATCTGTTGAAACGGGAGAGAAGGAACAGTTCAGATTAAGAAGGGGGAGGTATTTGACAATCAGCTGGCAGCTAACATTTGTGTTTGCAGTCAGAGCACAACCACACCTTAACGGACTGTACTACAAAGTACAGAGCTCATCAATGCCTTCCCATCTGGCAAGAAAACAAACAAAACACATCGGACTATATGGGTGTAGCTTGCAAATCCAGATCGCACCACGTGTCCTGTGTGTTTACCAACCCACACAGGGGCGACAGAGGAAAAGGGGGGGGGGGTCAGCACTAATCCTTCTGACAGGAGCAATGGAGGTTTGATGCATTTTGCTAAATAATAAATCTAAACTCACCCATGAGCCCAAATCTTTGGTTACACTGTCATGAATCATTGCTAAAATAAGGGCTTTTATTCCCAGCAACTCATACATTGTCTGTCAAAACCACACCTTTGCTTCAAACTGTTATCTTTCTTAACCGCTTTAGCAACAACAAATAAACAGCTGACACTATCAGCCTAAAATGATAGGGGAAGCCTATGATAAACATGAAATATAAAGTGATTGTTGAGTAATCAACCACTAGCCTAGTTTTGAAAGCCTTGTACATGGTGGGGAATATTTCGATTTCATAGAACCATAAAAAGCATGAAAATGTATGGACCCATGCATGTGTTTGCACACACAAACTCTGAAATGGGTGTTTCCCAGTTAAGTCCACTCTGTAACACAGAGAAAAACAACTAAATAGTTGCACGTTTACCTGCAATGTCCTTCTCTTCTTCCTCTGCCTCCTCTTTGAGATCCTGCAGTTTCCCCATATTGTGTGTAGCGGGTACCGTCACCCCGGGGATCTGGGGCAGACAGCATGGGGGGGTCCGGGCCAGAGGGGAGTTTCGACAATCCAACAGAAACTTCCTGTCATAAATGATTCGGGTACCTAAGAGACAAAAAGAAAGTCTGGTGTTTAATGTCAAATCTCTCTTCCAAACAGGAAGTGAAGTTAATTAAAAGACAAACACAACCAACTGAATGCTGGAGTATCTAATATATAATAGTTATTTTTGCTTGTTGGCAATGTAGACATTTGGAGAGTTAAGTGTCATTATCCTCTACCAGAGGGGATTTGAATGGGAAAAGGAGGGTTCTGTGTGCGTGCAGAGGGGTGGGCTGGAGGCAGCCACTGCCATGAGTTCTTGGAAATCAGAGCACAGAACATTCTCTTTTTGAAGCGGGAGGCCTTGAGATTAAAGCCACATGTTTGTTCTTTGACTGGGTGAAAGAAATCACTAACGTTAACGGCAGATGCGACATGCTGAGTATTCGCGGTGACATGGTTTCGGCCTAAAGCTCCACACAGACCCTGCAGCTATCAACATCTCAAATTGCCTCGGCATGACTCGTGTGTCATCGTCAGGACTTGGACAAACTCCAAGCGACAAACAGCATCATAAATGGCGTGTTGTGAGAAGTTTGTCCAGGACACGACTCGAGTCAAGGAGCAAACTGCTGCCTCTTTATTGGAGTTTGAACCTGCTCAACTTCGCCACGAGGAAAAACATGTTACGTAATAACTGTGGTGAGCAGCACGTCCTGGACAATGGGAAGCAAAGCAGAGACGGGGGGAGGGATTGGGGCGAGGAAAGAGGATTGGAATGCAAGCTATAGTGCTAGCAATGCATTGCCAGGCGGCCTAGAGTGCAGAGCAGTTACGTTAAAAAAAGGGGGGGGGGGAAAACAAGTCAACGCTCTGTGTAGCAGGTTCCTATGGCGTGTTTACCAGTGTTTATTTTTAGAGCAAATTAAAAAAAAATAAAACATTGCTCATACTCCTATGCATTCCCCCTCCCCCCCTCTAAACTTGTACAGAATGTTCTCTACAGTTCCTGAAATGCAAAGTAAGAGAGTAGCGGGGATAGGACATGGCGGAGGCCAATCACTCTGCTCTTCTGGCAGTTGGACACATCCACCCTCTTTAAATGTCTTTAGACGCAGCAACAAAAGACAAGTGTTCAGCCCACAATGTGTTTATTGGTCATGCCAATAATCATGCATCATGTAAGCCAAAGTTACTATTGTTCTGTCAGCAGTGCAAATATATACATATGTTACTATGTAGTATGCATTGATAGTAATTTGACATTTAGTAATATAAAAAAAAAGATAAAAAGTAAAAACTGTCTGACTCCACACTTATGTTTGTGTGTGATTTATGTAAAAGCCCTTCGTGCTTCCGCTGTTTGGTTCACTTCACTTTTCCAAAATCAACAAATGACTTGCTGACCACACGAGGGCTTTGGACAACTGTCACTGTGCAGAATGTGAACAACGCAATTCTCCAACTTCCTCCTATTATTGGTTCCCAGTTTACTTTTTAATATAGTTACTTGATGGTGTTAGGTCGATCTAAATATAATGTGAGTATAACCGATACCCTTTATCAGCTGTTTTATGCTTGTTTGTATTGTTTTGCAGCTTCTCGCGAGACTGAGCTTTAGGCATTTTCACCCACGTACAAACCGTTGAGTTTTAGCTAAACTTTTTTTCTGGCAAGTTCCGTGGTATGAACGCATTTCGGGAGACCAAAAGTAGTCTAAATACGAAACCTCCAGAGAAAGCGTGGCACAGTTCTTACCTCCTGGCGTGGTGGAGAAGAGGGTCCCCCCGGGTGTCTGGCTGTAACAGTCGGGTAGCTGGGACCAGTCATTCAGGGTGAGCACCCTGGTGGGTATGGGGCAGCATTTGGCTTCATTCGTGCCGGTCGACATGCTAGCTTTCTGCGTGACTGCTGCAGGCGGAGTGGGACTAGCGTCTTTAAAAGTCCTCGAACCCGCTATATATCGCTCGCTCACAGCCTCTGCACAAAGACAAACCGACTTCAAAGTTGTAGGTTCTTTACAACTAACAGCTAACGGAGTAAACGGTATGCGACTGTAACTTCCAAACGGAGAATTCAAAACAAGCTGGAGAGTTTGGGGCCCCGGCCGTGTCCGTCGCGATAAGCAGCTACCATGTGCTGTATTTGTACTACACACAGCTACAGCAGCCACTCGTGATGTTTTTGTGCAACAGCTATGAGACACGTGGGGCAACGGCTAGGTGCGAATGTTTTCCTGTCAGAGACAGCCAAAGAGGCGGTGTTAACAAAGGAGAAAAATAATGTTGTGTTGATTGATTATCTAATTTTATGATGAGTACACAAATATATTTCAAGACCCATTGTGTAGCTATGCTATTGTACACTACAGGAGAAGATACACTGTTAAAAACGTGAAGATGTAATGTCACCGCCTGTGTCAGTACTTAAGCTGATATCCTTCAGGAAACCTTCTTCTCAGTATTAGTAGTAGTAATAGTGGTGGTAGTAGTAGTAGTAGTAGTAGTAGTATATTGCAACACAAAAATTGTTCTTTGGGTGAATGACGGTGAAATGAATGACCAAGAAATGGAATTGTTTTTAGAGTTGGGTCAACTCTAACGTAAAGATAATTGCTATCCGTGTCTTCTCTGGTTCACAAATCAAGCGCTTCGCCACCTCATCCGTGTTACTCTCTCGACTACACTGCCCCCTACAGGTTGTCACTGTGTGGAGCAGACAGCACGTTTCTCACGATAGCTCATCGACAGCTGCTTCAGATCGCTCACCGACGTCAATAACAACAATCAATAAGGGCGTTAGTGTCATTTCATGTATCTATTCTGCTTTACATTACATGCATTTAGTATTTATTTTATTTGTGTTGTTTTTTAAATGTTTGCTGTACTTTGATTAGATTGTGAGCCTATTGCATTGAACCTTATGTTATTACCTTACTCTATGATTTGTTGTACATTGGATTTGGTGATTAATAAGGTGTTTGAGGAGCAAAATAAAAAACGAACGAACGAAAAACAGAATCCATGTTCCAAAGCTGTGCAAACAGCCTATAGAAATGTTTAATTTTGTCCATAAGTATTAGTGTCGACACAGTGGACACATATGAGGACAACAACCAACCACGGAAATATATGAACAATATAAAGGAAGAAATGCTACAAAAAAAAATAATAAGAAAATGTGTTTGATGAGGAAAAAATGTATTTTAAATTATAAAATCAAAACTACTTTGTAAATTCAATTTACACTTTCAGCTCCATTCCGGTTTCCCATTTACCAACCACTTGAGGGCGACATCGACATGAACACATTGGGGCCACTTCTCTAATGCATAAAACGAAGACAGTAGGATGATTATATGATTATCAAAGACAGAAACAAACGATACTGATTACATCTCTTGTGGTATCACTGTACTCCCCTGTAGTATTGATACAGTAATCCTATGGAGTTGTTACTGCAATTGTGTGGTATATTTCACATTTATACATTTAGGTGGTAAATTAACCCAGTGCCTACATGAAAGATCCCCTTCCCTAAAACTACTGTTTCTCATTTGTTTTTCTACAATAATTAATTGCGATACAAAATCAAGTCTCCCCATCACATCCGTGTACGTTGCATATTGGACCTTAATTAACTTCCTCGCTAGTTTTGAGGTCACACAATGCAAGCTAATTAACTTTGTATTTTAACTCTAGCGGGCCCATAGTCTGACAGAGTTCCAGTGTCAACGTCAGCTGATGTGGCATCGTAGAAGTACGTCAGTCATGCAGATGTGCTGCCTATTAAACTGATCCTCTGTTTCACCACAAACAAATGACGCAAATGACTGGCATCAAAATGGCCAGCAGCAAACATAAACGAACACACACACAAACCGGCGATGTCAATCACATCATACGGAACACTGTGTCTGGCTATGCGAGCGCTAATAGCATGGATGTATGGGACAGAGGCGGTACTTACTACCTGCAAGACCTGCAAGAGCTTTCTCCTCACGCGGCACAGGACGTACACAAAAGACGACAGAAGACCTTCTTCGGCCGCTGATTGGTCCAGAAATATGGAATCAGATGACGTAGTAGTTCCGGTTTCTAGTTCCCACTGAAAAGGTAACTCTCGGTCATTTCTGAAGAGATGCACGACTGACCCGGTTTTCATCCGCTGAAGGTAAGAATGCCTCGAGCCAGCCAGATAAGCAGGGTATCACTCTCTCGCTGGTCACCGTAATCCCGTTACTGCCTTTATCTGTCTGTAGACCTGTGTTAGGGTTCATCTGTGTTTTAATTGGCTTCAGCTACGTCCTCGGTGAGCTAACGCTAATCAACTTGCCAACGGTGCCAACAGCGTGTGGATGCTTTTGTCATCACTCGGTCTGCCGTGGCGCTCCTCAGCCCATCGTCAGATAACCGCTCAATAACGCGGAGGATGAATTAAAGAAAGCTCATTCTAATTCATTCTTATTGTGTGAGTTTAATTTAACTATAACGGTAGCTTTTTTTTTTTTTTTTTTATTGTATTAAGACGTTTTTGAACATGATGTTTTTGTATGTGGCTTTAACGTTCGAGAAACCACACTGAATTACGGCATTTGCTGCTGTACAATATTACTTTATGTGGGTTGTATTATATTTTGTCCAAAATTGGGACTTTATGGTGCCACGGAAATAACTCATTCATATAGGGAGTGTAGCTTGCTGGACATTTTCCTACTCAACTAACACGCGATATCAAGCCTGACAGGTTGTGTTTATCCATGAATCAACATTGAAATACGCGTATTGTTTTAAGTTGTGTTTCCTCTTAGATATACAGACATGGGTGTGACGCGGTTGGATGCAATGATTCACTAAAATGTGAATCACACTGTACAAAGTAAGGATAGGGAGGGTTGGTTACATCAGTCTGACTTTTTACTTATAATAAATTAGATGATGTAGCTGAGTAGATACATAGTCATGTTAATACCCACACTCTTTCTGTGTAATGTTGTGGAGTCATATCTTTAAAATATGACATCAAAGTAGATCCTACATGACAGCCGTAATCTACAATTGGTTCAGCCTGTTCTGTCACTGTATGGGTTATTTATACAAACATCGAAGACTAGTTAAAAGTGCAATATTCCCTTTTTTCCCTCCTCGATCTACCCTGGCCTTGAGGCTGTTATTAGCGAGCTGTGACCTAGAGTGGCCTTTCACTGACCACTGAGTGGGGTGAGCTTCAAGAGTATTATTATTGGTTGTCCGCAGCTCGGTGCTCTTGGGCATAACGCACAGAGGGGGTGGTGAGGCAGACAGTTTGGAACCCTAAGTGGAGGGAGCTCGCACAGTTGAAACACACCATCCTAGGAGGTCGGGAATGTAACTGAGCGTTTTTAAAAGGTGACGGAAGCAGAGGATGTTTGGTACAGAGCAAGAGGTGAGTCTCTGATGAGCACTGAGTGTAGTTTCGAGCCAGCGTACAGAGCCAGATGTCAGATAACCTTTAGTAAGTAGCTGACTAGTTTGAGGCACAAACTGCAGTTTAGTCAGGGTTCTGTTTTTTTCTGTGCCACCAGACGTACTTAGTTAACCAACCAACTTCCTCTGCGAGACAACTGTTGGCACATGACCGATATTTGGGTTGAAAATCAATCTTGACTCACCTTTGCTCTATATTTTGACTTGGTAGCTGTTTCACATGTGCTTGATTAATAAACCTTCTCTAATGGCATTTTCTGTTTTATTCCAACTTTAGGTGTAACATTCGTGGGGAGTGGACCAAGTATTTCCATATTGCAGTTGTTGGATTCTTAAAATTGTTTACTCCTGGGGGGGGGGGGGGCTTTTCTCCTTCTGAGGCTTTAAACTTCTTTGTGACCAGCACACCATTCAAAACTAGTCTGACAACCAGGGCGACCTAGTTTTTTCCCACCACACGTACTCTTCCAGAGAACAGTATGGGTCTCCAGTCAGACTCGGTCCTCCAAGCTATCCTCCTGTTTCCAATCCACCTTGTGGTATGGCTGTACTCCGTCCTGTCCTTCCTCCCCTGGTACTACATGACTGGGGCCGGGGAAAGAAAAGCCCTGTCCAAGCGGGTAAAGGCCCGTTCCACTACGGGCTGTGCAGAGGGGCCTTACCGCTCCGTGGACCACTTCGACTCCTTAGCCAGGCAAGACCTTCCGGGCAAGGACACGCTGGACAAGCTGTTCGAGCATTCTGTGCAGCGCTTTGGACCGACACACTGTCTCGGCACCAGAGATGTACTGAGTGACGAGAACGAGGTTCAACCCAGCGGGAAAGTATTTAAAAAGGTAAGGATTCCCTTTGCTATGATTAGTTTTTCGTGAGTGATGCTTGTGAGGACGAAGATGTCTGATGTTGCAAATGACTGTTCCCTCCCCTTGGCAGCTGATCCTGGGGGAGTATAGATGGCTCTCCTACAATGAAGTGGACTCTGTAGTCAGTCAGTTTGGCAGTGGACTGGCGGCTCTGGGACAGCAGCCCAAAAGCAGCATTGCAATCTTTTGTGAAACCAGAGCGGAGTGGATGATCACAGCCCAGACGTGCTTCAGGCACAACTTCCCATGTAAGTACAGTACAGTATGTACAGCAGTGACGGTCAACCGACGTATGCGTCCATACGGCTCGGCAAAGCTATATAAAACCCACATGGCTGGTTTATGTGTAGGAAAAAAATACGTTCTGGTATTTCGGATATCAAGCGTTTTTTTTTTTTTTTGTTTTTTTTGTTTTTTTTTCTTCCTATATTTAAGTAACCCCTGAAACAATTGAGATGGAAATTATTTTATTAGGAATGATTTTACCAACCTCGTGTATGTGCGTGAACTGCCTCCTTGCTGAGGGTCTGAGAGCATTTTCTAGTTAAATATCTAGTTATTGTTATGGATTTCTCCATGTTTTTCAGGAGTCTGTTCACACTAATAGAGGCTAATAATAACATTCATTTTGGAAACATTTTTTAAAGTGAAAACAGTGATTTCAATTTTCTATCTTTTCTTTTTTCTTCTTTTTTTTACTAATCTTTTATTTGAAAGTCGGGCCCCCACAGTGTCTACTTTGGACAAATGTAGTCGATGGCCCCGGGTGTATATTATAGTACAAGTGTGGATAATATAATAACTGCTGTTTGATATATTTACATGTCTATTTTGGGTACACTGAGTGTTTTGTATTCATAACAGTGGTGACATTCTATGCCACTCTGGGAGAGGACGCAATCACGTTTGGACTGAACGAGACCGGAGTGACACACCTAGTTACCAGCGTGGAACTGCTGGAGACTAAACTGAAAGTGAGTTCATCCCTTACAGTGCACACAAGACGCATTAAGCCATTTTTCTATTAAATATAACAAAATGTGGATAATATCTCAAACAGCCTTTTTTTGATTCTTAACTTCTTTTTTTCCAGTGGATGTTTTTTAAATTTATTTTTAAATTTAGTAGGTCAAGTTGCTGTCCATTATAAAGATTAAGTCAGCAAAGCTAAAAATCATTTATATTTACAAAATGAAATAGTGTGATTGTAATAACAGCATTTGTCCTCTCTGTCTGTCCAGAATGTGCTTCCACTGATCCCAAAACTGAAGCACGTGATCTACGTGGACCAGAAGAAAATGAACACAGCAGGCTACCCAGCGGGGTTGTCCATCCATAGCATGCAGGCCGTACTGGAGCTTGGCGCGCTGCCTGAAAATAGTACGTGCACACACACACACACACACACACACACACAGTACAATAGATAATCTTGCCTTAAAACGAGTTTTGAGCTCCGTCTATGCTCTTGAAGTTGTTTGTACTTTAAGTGTTTGTTTGTCTTGCAGTGGGGAGGGCGATCGTGAAGCCCCAGCCCTCCGATCAGGCCATGGTGATGTACACCAGTGGCTCCACGGGCAGACCGAAAGGAGTCATGATCGTCCACAGTAACCTGATTGCGGGAATGACGGGCCAGTGTGAACGCATCCTTGGACTTGGGTGAGTTTCAATATTAGTCCGTATACATGCTATATGTACTGCTGTGATGCTAGCATAATGCAGTTCGCGCAGCAGGTTTCCTCTCATCGTTCAACAGCCAGGATTAAACTTACTCCAAACTTCAGAGCTTTTACTGAAGCGCACATCTCTCCGGTGTTATTTTCTCTATTGACAAGATAACTGAAGAACGTTCCCTTTTAATCTGTGCTGGGACAGACTCCAGAACAGAAAGACCACACTAACAGATACAGAGTGTGATAATTGGATAGAGAAACAGAACACATGTAGTAACTAACACCCCCCCCCCCCCATGTGTTGTGACAGGCCTAATGATACCTACATAGCCTATCTGCCCCTGGCTCATGTTCTGGAAATGACAGCTGAAATCTCCTGCATCACATATGGCTGTCGGATCGGCTACTCATCCCCCCAGACACTGTCGGACCAGGTAACACACCATTTATTTGTCATGCTGCATTTCCTCATAACACACCTGGGTGTCGTGACTAATACATTGTTACCCTGAGCTTAAATCATTGTTGCTGTCCAATGTAATCCGTGGCTTCTGTTTAATCCCTTTAGTCCACTAAGATAAAGAGAGGAAGTAAAGGAGACTGCTCTGTGCTCAGACCCACGGTGTTGGCAGCTGTGCCAGTAAGAAGTCCTGCTTTATATTCGTATCTCTGTCGATCACTCACTACTCTGTTCTCCTTCTCTCGCTCTCTCTCTCTCTCCCTCTCTACGTTTTTCTACTCAGTTTTATACACTTTTTTTTTTTTTTCCACCTACTCTTTATCAAATGTATACATTTATTTTTTTTCTCCTTAAAAGGAAATTATGGACCGCATCTACAAGAATGTGATGAGCAAAGTGCAGGAGATGAATCTCGTTCAGAGGATGCTGTTTATGCTGGGCTACAAATATAAACTGGAGCAGATCGAGAGGGGCTATGACGCGCCACTCTGCAATGCGTAAGAAAAACCACCGCGGCTCCTCCGGTGCCCCCTTTTTTTTTTTTTTTTTAAGAAATTGCGGTTGTGGCGGTCAACTTCAAATCAAAACACACGGCAATTTGTCTTTGCAGCCTGCTGTTCCGGAAAGTGAAGGAACTCCTGGGGGGACGGGTGAGGATGATATTGTCTGGAGGAGCCCCCCTGTCCTCAGCCACACAGAGGTTCATAAACGTATGCTTCTGTTGTCCGGTGGGTCAGGGCTACGGCCTCACGGAAACCTGTGGAGCAGGCACCATCACGGAATGTAAGATGAAAGTGTAGAGCAGGGCGAGCGTGCAGAAAGATGAGAATAAACAGATATGTTGCAAAGATATTGTGTCTTATTACACAGTTGCAGACATCAGCACCGGCCGTGTGGGAGCTCCTGTTATTTGCAGCGAGATCCGGCTCCGGGACTGGGCTGAAGGTAGGGTTGAAAGACCTGTTTGTACAGGATGACAATTTATTTTCGTAATGACAGGGTAATTATATTTTCGTAATTTGCCAACCACAGGTGGCTACACCAGCAGAGACAAGCCCAACCCAAGAGGGGAGATCCTGATTGGTGGCCCCAACGTGACCATGGGTTACTACAAGCAGGAAAGCCACGACCAGGACTTTTTCATGGACGACAAAGGTCAGAGATGGTTCTGCACCGGAGACGTGGGAGAGATGTACGCAGACGGCTGTCTTCAAATAGTGGGTGTGTATGTTTGTTCCCTTTTAACTTATCACTCAGCCCTGCGGCTTGTCATCATGATGGCGCCTGTGGAAGGCACACCATGCACACTTGATTTCATGGCACTGATATGCTGTCGTTGTGGTTGTAACTTCTGACAAGGGGAGCTGTTCGTGCTTGATAAAAGAGCGCCGGTGTGAACAGATTCGTCCTTTTCCAATTTTTTAGATCGCAAGAAGGACTTGGTCAAGCTGCAGGCCGGGGAGTACGTGTCTCTTGGTAAAGTCGAGTGCGCTCTGAAGAACTGCTCCATCATAGACAACATTTGTGCTTATGCAAACAGGTGAGTAAGTCATTTATTTAGGTTCAAAGTTACAGGAAATGTAACAGACTACCGGGTGGATACATTTGGGGCAGTATCAATCAGCTCTCACTTCTAAGAGCTGGTGGCAAGACAACGTTTCTGTAGCTTTAAGTACACGTGTGCTTTAGAGCTGCAGTGTTGAACAAATAATTATTTACTAAACAAATATTTGTCTCCATTCTCATATGCAAATCCAATGCAGCAGGAGGAGATAATGCAGCCTGCAGTAGAGCTTGCAAATATGGATGACATTGCATGTGATGATCATAATTTCTTTGTTCCTCTATTTGCTCACATACCACATTAAACCAAATATCCATTTCAAATGGCAGATGCAAAAATGGATCAAAATGTATAATTCGTGTAAAACTGACTGGACTGTGGGGAGTTTGTTTATATTGTAAAACCATATGCACTGTATAGAAAGAAAAAATGATTTACAGTTCAATCCAGTCCCACCCATGAGCGTCAACTGTGAAGATTGACATGGGATTTTATATAATGTATTATTATATTCATATCATGAACTTAGATGTAGTTAAAAATGTGTGTTTTCAGTGTGCCTCGTGTCATTTATTTGGACAACAAATGTGTTCATCTCAGTATAACTTCATCACCCCATTTAAACATATTTAATTTTGTATAATCACACCAGTCCCGCTGCCTTCGCATGCTACAATTTAAAAAAATAAATAAAATAAAATAAATAAATTTAAAAAAAATCCTAATAATATCTTGATATCAAATTAATTAAGATATCCCAGCAACAGTAGTTGTGTTTCTCAGCTTTCCCAGTTCAGAAATTGACCTTTAATGTCAGCTAATGAGAAAGACGAATGCAGCTGAAAAATGACTTTCACTTCAACTGAAACTGACAGAACTGACACTTCCTCAGCCCGTATAAAGTTTAACCACTTCCACTGATCCTACACAATTTCACTCCCAACTGCTTTTTAATGCTCACACTTGAGCCTGCACTTCAACTGACATCTTTCAGTTCATACACTTGAACAGTCACTGAATTATTTCAGGACTTCAACTGTAACACCTACGCCTCGACTTACATTTCAGCTCCTCATTAACTTCAACTGAATCTACAGGTTGTTCAACTTCTGTCCGCACTTAACAATTAAATCAACACCTCATCTTCCCTCAGAGCTTACTCTTCAATCTAACTTCTTTCAGCACTTCCTTTCGAACTATCTCAACTTTCAGTTTTGTAATTTGAAGGCTACTTCAATATGACTTCAACTGATTATTTCAACTATTTTAAATATTTCAACTTTTCAGCAGCGGGCACAGGTGCATTATTATCCGTGGCCTTTTGTCAACCTTGTTTCTATTCTGCATCCTTTCAGTGAGCAGAACTATGTGATCAGCTTCGTGGTTCCCAACCAGAAGAGGATGACGGATCTGGCCGAACAGAGAGGCATCGTGGGGGCATGGGAGGAGATCTGCACCCACCCGGACATGGAAAGAGAGGTCCTGAAGGAGATCAAGGAGGTTGCTGCTAACAGTAAGAAGTGGCCGTGTGTTTTCATGATATTGTGTTATGGCTGTACTAGTTATCGTTACTTTTATGTGTACTTCTTATATCTGTCCTCCTCTCTGGCGACACATGCTCTTTTCGCTATATTTTAGTAGGAAGGAGCGCTTTTCGTTGTACTATACTGAGCGTCGCTGTTCTCTTTTCATCCATACAGTTAAACTCCAGCGATTTGAGATTCCGGTGAAGGTACATCTGATTCCAGAGCCGTGGACCCCCGAGACGGGCCTGGTCACAGACGCCTTCAAGCTGAAGAGGAAAGAGCTGAAGAACCACTATCTCCACCACATAGAGAGAATGTACGGGGGCAAATAACTTTGCTCACTTTCACCCAAGCGTCCCCACTGTAACCAGTATGCTGTTTGTGTACCACCAAATGAAAATGTCTTGAACAGAGAAGCTGTAAATACTTGTAGCTGTTGAACAATGTGTCCTGCCTGTTTTTATTGTCAACGAAAACGCACTCAAGTGGACAACTCTTGAAAAACGGTCCGAGACCATTACGGCACATAACTTCCACCACATAAATCCGCTGGTCCTCAGTTTGTAGCTGATTTAAAAAGTACCACTGTTCCCCCGTATGTTGCCGATGCTTTGCTGTTACTTCAATTCAATAATAACTGTAATCATCAGGGAGGCTTGTATTGCTCTTTTGTACATTTGCAGTACTAATGTTACTGTGCCTTCAGTCTGCAGTACCTGTGTAGTCGAGCAGAAGTAAGTGGCATCGAGTTACAAATAGTTCATGCTTTACTGCCAATTGTTCTTTTACTTGAGGGGAAAATATCCCCACCCAGAGATACACTTGACACCGATCATATAGAATTAAACATGCTTGTGATCGGGTCTGCTATTCAATCTACTTTACTTTTTCTGACAGCTGTTTAATTTATACTTTTGCTATTGTGTCAATTTATTCGGTGAGACCAAAATGTGTGAACATAAATGACTCAGGAAGATAAGCAAATGTTTTAATTTATTAAATTGTGAAATAGTGTTACTTGTAAAGAAAAACCTTTTGTCATATTTCTCGTGGGCAGTGTATTTATTTAAGATGAAGCATGTTTTGCTACTAACAAATTGCTACGATGCTTATTTGCATTAGCTAGTCAGAACTTGTGATACTGTGCTTGTTTTACTTCAGTTCATGGGTTAATGTACATTTGGGTATGATGGTATCTGAAGTGGAGTCTTCATTTTAATATCGGGGTGTTTTCTGTGTATTTTTCAGTTGTCAAGTGTTGTCGCGTTGATGGATTTGCATCATGAAAACTTAAGACTTCACACATTGACGGTTGCTTTACAGTTGGTTGTTTGGCGATCCTATTTGTATTTATTACTCCATTATGATCACATGCCTTGTTCAACGTTCCAAGAATAAACCAATTATTTTTTTTTTGTATTGTCTGGTGCATGGCATTTTAATTTTATTACAAAAACGGAAATAAAGAAACTGGATCTAGACCATGACTGTTGAGTGTTCATACATCGCAGAGGAGAGAGCCTCAGCTGTTCCAGTCTTGGAATCGGAAACAGTCACTAGCGATCTTCCAAACAGGCTGGTCATTGTTGGGCGTCGCCTGAGCTGTCAGAAGAAAGTTCTGGTTGAAGAAACGCTGTTTGTTCCCTTCGAACTTCACTGTCCCACCAGTCACCACGAGCAGCGTGGTCTGACCTTGGGTTGCTTGCTCTGTGAATGAAGAAAGGGGTTTATTGATGCTGGATTAGTACAACATCACGTGATTAAAGATAATGTCACTTTAATTTAAGATGCATGATATTGTTCTGCTCTGCTTCACATTTGAGAATCACCAATAGGATGTTTTGAAGTTGAGATTAACCCACACTGACCGTGAACTGGCTGACAATCCAGTGTTTGAACTTGGAACTCGCTGGAAGGCAACGACTCAAAAAAATCGCCAAGAGCATCCTGCCCTGACACCGCATTCCCGTTCCACACCAAGGTCGCCTTGTCCAAATAGAGCCGGGTCAAGTTCTGGGACACAGAGGGTCGTTGAGATCAACAATAGCACCAACCACAAGCAGACAGTGTGTTCTGCAGATACACCAAAACTGAATTTTGGTGGCCTGTGCAGACATTGAAAAATAATCTGATAATATATCTGTTGAACTGTAAAGTTGGCACTGCTCTCTAGTGACCAAACTATGTATTGGCGACACGGTTAGTTAGTTATATCAGACATATCCGTGACCATTTAGGACCAATATATCTGTGCAGTCATAAACAATATTCAAAATAATTGGAGCAACGTTGCAGATGTTTGTTTTTTTCCCCAATCCAGAGATCAAAATAGCAGCATCACTCACCCTCCTTTTCTTATCCATGCAGTCGTAATAAATGTTGACAAATTCTTCTGAATATCTGCATGACTGATCGACATGTGTCCTGAAATCCTGGAGTGGAAAATCACGTATTAAATCACAATAAATCAAAGTCACCTATCGCTCGTGAACAAGGTGTCTAGGCCTGCTCAATGTAAAAGGTAACAATAAACATTAACATTCAAATGTAACGTTAGCTAGCTAGCAAAACAACGCATGAGCTGGTTGATTTCAGCACACCGGTGTCGCATTTAAACGTACCAGCGTGCTCGCCATAACAACATGAATATCGATCGAAACAATACTGAATATATTGATTAGTATTAGATAGGATAGCGGGAAATTTTGTCAAGCATCAATTTAGTTTTTTCTTCCGCTTGTTCATTTAGCACATTTAGCAACCAATGCCGCCATTTTGCCTGGTGTATTACTTCCTCGGGGCACCAACTATACCTACCAAAATAAAACGTGTGTACGTTCGTTCAAATTTAACGAAGGCCTCTGATAGCGTGGTTCCAAGCCTATAAATCGCTTTCAACGTCTTCTGTTTTTTAGGTGAATCAAACTGAATAATTACTGAATGAGTACTAAAATGGCATGGCTATTCAGTCTCACTGTCAGGCGATGCCACTGATAGTGTTTTAATTTGAAGGGGAACAATGACCGATGCGGAAGTAGAGTTTAATAATATCCTGAATCATCGCTCCGCTTGTTCTAGAACGAAACAACTCCCGAGCATCCCCACTTGGCTAACGTTAGCTACTGTAACATTTGTTTGACTTTTCAAACATATTTAACAATGGCGGGTTCTGTATCAAACGTGGAGGTCTGTGATTTTGCGTACACGGGACAGTTTGAGAAGTTAAAAGAGTGCATCCTGGCGGATAAATCGCTTGCATTCAAAACAGACCAGGTAAGAATGCGTGTTCTGTAATAATGACAGATGCCATGTGAAGTTTTGCACGTTTTCACCCACGACCTTCTGTAATTGCAGGACAGCAGAACCGCCCTGCACTGGGCTTGTTCTGCTGGACACACCAACATTGTGGAGTTCCTGCTTGACCTGGGAGTTGATGTGAATCTGCAAGACGATGTACGTTTAAATGTTGTTCAATGTTTTTATGCACTATTTGTGTCCTCTAAGGTAGCTAGTGGAGGAGTGCAGCTGACCCTACAATATGAGGTGGTCCTAATATTTCAGCAGCAATCCATACAAACAATATCCATCCATATAGACAATATACATAAAAAGAGTAAAGGTGTAATCTGTATTGAGATGTAATTAGGGCTATTTCAGTGTTGTAATAAATATGTGTGCAGTAACGAAAATGCCGTGATCTAGAATGTAAACATGCAGGTGTAAATGGAGTAATCTTAAAATAATCCAAATTCACTTTCTTTTGTGAACTGACGATGATTGTGTGATGTCTCACTTCCCAGGCTTTGTGGACCCCTCTTCACATTGCAGCATCTGCTGGCAGAGAAGACATCGTGTTATCTCTGATATCCAAAGGAGCTCAGCTGAATTCAGTTAATCAAAGCGGATGCACCCCTCTGCACTACGCCGCCTCCAAAGACAGATATGAGGTAACTCGATGGTTTGGTCCACATTTTTTTTTTTTTTAGCTTTGTTGTTTTTCTTTAATTACAGTGGATCACTTTTATGACAATGATGGTATCAAACAATAGGCATAAGAAAGCCACACAGAAAGTAAACAACCATACAGTATCTTTAATCAACCATGCATTAACGAGTTGTGTATAAAGCAGAGTACAGGCCAACTCATCACCACACTGAAGTTACTGTGTGGTTACTTTCTTATACTGACATTAAGTTGAGAATGAAAGTTCCGACTTTATATATTATCAGCTGTCGAGGAAGTTTGTGTTCAGGCTAAATGAAGAAAGTCAACAGCGGTTTCTCTTTTCAGTTTTATTCCAGAGGATATAATAATATGTGACATATGTTCTTACCACCTCGGCATTAATATTACCTTATCCAAATGCCAACCAGTTCAGCCTTGTGTTTATGTTGATGTTTAACCGTGTACTTCTTTCACCACATCTACCACACACACACACACACACACACACACACACTCACACACACACCAAGAAACAATGTTTAGTAAACCTGTCTGATTTGCTATTAGCTGATAAACATTATTTTAACCGTATGAGTCCAACTAGTACGAAACATTAAAGTACATGTATTTCTTGTATATATACTGTAAAATATATATTATACTGTTACAGTTATTATATAGTACACTGTAGACAATTAATATTTAGCTTGGAATTGGGAAACAGAAAAGGATCACTATCAGAATCAGAACACTAGACCTCTACATTGTGATTGTACTTATTGGAGGAAATGAGTATCTTTACATGGAATCTCACTTACGAAACCGCGGTGTGACAAAACCAACAGAAACCAACAGAACAGGACCTAAAAATATACGTTTCATGTAAATGGGAAGTGACTGATTCAAAAAAAGAAAAAAAAAAAAAAAAAGATGATTTGTCAATGGCATGAGTGACACGGCTTTCCTTCGCTATAGATCGCCCTGCTGTTGTTGGAAAAAGGAGCAGACCCCAACGTCCGCGACAAGTACGAGTCCACGCCTCTTCACAGAGCGTCTTCCAAGAGCAACCTCCGCCTCATCCAGCTGCTGCTCAAACAGAGTGCCTCGACCAACATCCAGGACTGCCAGGGCAACACACCTCTGTATGTGTGCATAAGTATTTGTCTAACACAACATTGAGGCCACTGGCACAGATATACGGTTACAGTGTGAAACGAACAACACGCAAACCCTTAAAGGGGCCGTTAAGCCTAATTTAAAACGCCTTTCCTCACTTGTGTTTTTGTGGTTTTTGCCTCTGCCCTAATAAATTGAAGGTGAAATTAGTATGTGGTGCTCACAGCATTGAAAATAAAATTAAAAAAGCATTTTTGTATTTACAATTCTGCCTGCATTTTCACCAGCCACCTGGCGTGCGATGAGGACCGCGTGGAAGCAGCCACGGTGCTGGTGGAGCACGGGGCCAGCATCTACATCGAGAACAAGGAGGAGAAGACCCCCCTCCAGCTAGCCAAGGGCGGTCTGAGCAACATACTCCGGCAGATTGTAGAGGGATGATTATTTTCACCAGCCCTCGGGGTCACGCCCCAGCTCGAGTCCCTGCCGTCGCAAGTTACACAATGAGAGTCGTCATCCCAGTCGGTCCTCCCTGAGCGGCCTGGTGTGACACATTCACATGTGTAACAGGTGGAAGGTGAGATGGAGGAAAGCTGGACTGTACTGGGTCGTTATCAGCTTCTCGGATGGGGGGCAGTGAAACTGCTCAGACCTCAGATGTCTCAATAAAAACACTCCCTAGTGCACTAACTGCGGTCTATTCAACACTGCAGCCTAATTTCTTGCGATCTCTTTCTTTTTACGTTTTTGAATTGTTGCAAAAAATGCCCTAATAAAAACCAGTGTTAAGCCTGTTTAAGTGGGTCTAGGATGTATTTATGTAGCCAACTCCTGAGGGAGATGGCCGGCTCTTAAGCTGCTAAATGCTCCAGCTAGTAGCTAATCGCGTCCGTCTGCTGTCTGGTGCTGAGCAGGGTGTTTACAGGGAGTTTTAGCAGTGTTTTCGCTGATAATGAATTGAGAGTGAACCATAACGTTGTTGCAGGCCAGACCGCTAAACAGAGCTGAACCTCACCATATATCTCTGATGCCGCCGGTACGGGTGATCACTTTCACACAAGTGACCCCTTCTGCGTTGTTTTCATGTTGGGATTTGATACATTGTTGATGCTTCCTTACATGAATGATCAGTACCCTGTTACTCCTTTTGTGTTTTTTGGGGAATTCATTATGCAGCTGATTGTAAGATTTAAAGCCTGACTCAGTTTAACCCAGACCTGCTTTATTTAACCTAAGATTAAAATAATGTTTCCGTTTTATTAGTGTTAAAACGCGCTCACAATAAACGGTGGTGGAACAAGTATTTTCATGTACCTAAATAAAAGTAGCAATACCACAATGTAAAGATATTACAAGTAAAAAGTCTTGTGCCAGCTAAATGATCTCTGATGGAATTATTATATTGTATAGACTATTGGCTTGAATTGCTAAGCCGAATTTGTGTAAAGTCGTCAAAATACTGTTTTAGAAAAGTACTGGATGGAAACTTTAGTTGTTGGAATGCTGATTCAGCAGCATTTATTCCACTGCGTCTTCCTCTATTACTTCTGCACACTTTCATCTACAGAAACCGTTCAGCTATCAAAGTATTCAGCGCTTTCAGGACAGGGATGCTTTGACTTTTCTTGTTTCTACCTTTGATGCTTTTTTAAATATTAAGCAATATTCATATTTTTCTTTACAAAGATTCTCTATGGAGAAAATCCTCTTAAACTCTAAAATCTCTCTTTCTCTTTATCTGTCTGTCTTTATCTCTCTCTGTGTGTGTCTGTCTCACTCTCTTTCTCTGTGTCTCACTCTCTTTCTCACACACATACAGACACTTAGGTCTTGGAGAATGATTTCAGATTTCAGCATCCAACGTATTTTTTGCAGGAAAACCATTTTCTATTTAATACATGTGTCACACAAGCAACACCTATACTACAACAGGCTGAGTTAATGATAAATATGCAACTAAAAGAAAATATGTTTGAATTGTTGAACTTTTTAAATTTGGGGTTGCGTTGGGAAACCCGCATTCAACAAGCTTGAGCGATTTCCCGCGAATTCATAACTTTCCGTAAGTCACGTGGTTGGTCAGCTGGAATGCGCACGACGAGGTGCGCACACCGCATTGATTTCACTTCCTGTAAGCGAGGTCGTGTGAAATACAACAGTTCTCTTTAACCGTTGCACTCTCTTGTAGGTGGTGTTCGCACCAAAGACTGACTGAAAATAAAGACCGAAGAGTGGGCTGTAAGGTAATTTTAGAAGTTTTGCCATGATAGTTTATCGAGTAACTTTTTGACCTTACGTCATGTAGAATAGCCAAGCTAACGTAGCTAGCTAGCGTTAGGTTAGATTACGTGTTATTAATCCCGTGTGCTAGCTAACTGAACACTGTATTTCGAGAGCGCTGGTCAAAGTCCTTACAGACTATTTCTACACACTACCGATTAGCGGGCTGTTAGCGAATTGTATTGCTTTAGTTGAGCTAATGCAGTGTGTGTGTGTGTGTGTGTGTGTGTGTGTGTGTGTGTGTGTGTGTG